AGTACTTTGGGGCAGACATCTAGGTACCAAAATGGTGCTTTCCCAAAGCTGAGTGCTGCAGAGAAAGAACTGTTCTGCTGTTTGGGAGAACTGCCTTTCAGCCTCAGGGATGCTCCTAACTCATGGCATGACCTTGTATTCTAGGCCTCAGTTTCCCCAGCTGGGAAGGAATAGGTTTCCATTAAATGCTGGAGCACTAAGCAGAGGATTTTTTTTTTTTTAAGTTAGAGTTTTGCTCTGTTGCCCAGGCTAGTGAAGTGGCATGATTTCAGCTCACTGCAACCTTCGCCCCCATGTTCAAGCAATTCTCCTGCCTCAGCCTCGGGAGTAGCTGGGATTATAGGCACGTGCCATCACCCCCGGCTAATTTTTATATTTTTAGTAGAGACAGGGTTTCACCATGTTGGCCACGCTGGTCTCAAACTCTTGACCTCAGGCGATCCGACCGCCTTGACCTCCCAAAATTCTGGGATTACAGGCTTGAGCCACCGAGCCCAGCCTAAGCAGAGGATTTTTAAAAACCAAGGATGAAAGGGCACTGATGACTAAGGGGAAATGGGGAATCCTCATCATGAATGAGCAAGATGGGATATGGGCTTGGTCCCCAAGTCCTACCCCCAGGCGTGTTGAGGGCACGGTGGATGAAGTCAGCCGCGGAGGAGAAGTAGGCACTGATGTCAAAGTCAGGGAGGTCGTGGGCCGGCACCCCCAGGTAGCTCACACTGCTGCCGTAGAAGTCAGGGCCACCCTGACAGTAGAGGCCCCCGTGGGCGGCGTTCAGCACGTGGGTGATGCCCAGCTTCCACAGCTCAAAGCGGTTGTTTGCCGTGGCCCTGGGGAGGGCAGGAAGAGCACTGGGTGCTGGCCAAGCCAGGGAGACCAGGAGGAAGGCTTTGCCTGGCCCCTGCTGCAGAGGGACTGAGCCATTAGCGTCCGAAGAGAGTCCAACCCCAGCAAGCTCCAGGCTGGGTCTGACTCCACAGCCCCACGATTTCTGGTGGAAAAGCCAGTGGTGTGTGTGTGGGAGGGGAGGGGTGTATCTTAAGACCCTCTTTTTTTTTTGAGACAGAGTCTCGCTCTGTCGCCCAGGCTGGAGTGCAGTGGCACGCTATCGGTTCACCGCAACCGCCGCCTCCCGAGTTCCAGCGATTCTCCTGCCTCAGCCTCCCAAGTAGCTGAGATTATAGGTGCGCAACACCACGCCCAGCTAATTTTTGTATTTTTAGTAGAGATGGATTACAGGTGTGCAGCACCACGCCCAGCTAATTTTTGTATTTTTAGTATAGACGGGGTTGGTCAGGCTGGTCTCGAACTCCTGGCCTTTTGATCCACCCGCCTTGGCCTCCCAAAATGCTGGGATTACAGGTGTGAACCACTGCGCCTGGCCAAGACCCTCTTTGCTTCCTCAGAGCATTTGCTTCTGCCTTGGCCAGGACAGGAAGGAAGGGATTGCTTCAGTCCTGGAACCTGGCTGCCCTTCCCTTCTTGCCCCATGTCCTCACACGCACATCCGGCCTCTATTGGCTACCGCCCCATACCTGCTTCTAACCTATAAATGTTTAAAGGCAACACCTTCTCAGATTCACCTTCAGTCAGGTTTTTCCACCATGTGTGTCCAGAGGAGGGAGGCTGGAACCAGAAAGAGGGGCTCTCTGTCTACCCCATATCATGCCCCAAACACTATTTCCTAGGCCTCTGCCCCTAGATTTGCCAATTGTCTGGAAATGCGAGAAAATTCCTGAGGTCCCTGGGAAACTCCCTTCTTTCATGGAGGCGAAGTCCCTACTCCCCCTGGTGGCCATGCCTGTTCACTGCACTGTCCTCGGCATCCGGGGGTCCTGGAGAAGGTCCCTGGCCTGGGATGCTAGGAGCAGAGCTATTTCTCCTTATTTCCACCCTCCTTCGTCTGGTAAAGAGACCAAGAACTGCCTCTCCTTGTCCCCACCCCCACGCCCCTTGGCCAGCTACCACTCACGCATCTCCTATGAAAAGGTTGGGCCAAACTTCGTCCACGCGATTGCAAGAAGACTTCCCTGCCCTCAGGAGCTCCTCCAGCTCCAGGATACTGGGGCAAGGCGTGGCTTTGTCATCTCCCCCCAGCTCTGGGAGCGAGGTCTCAGCCATGGGCCAGCCCGCCCACCCTCTGCCTCTGCGGTCACTCCTCTCTGCCTCTCCAGTGTCATTTTTCCTTCCCAGAGATTGACAGGGACAGGTGGGACAGGAGCAAGTGACTCAGCAAGTCACAGGGGCCTCTGCAGAGGACAGGACCTTTTTCTCCCCAAGCTTCCCCTAAACCCCCAAACTCCATGAGAACATGGAATCAGAGAGAACTCTGCATTGAACCTCCCTGAACCCCAGTTTCTTCATCTGTAAAGTAAGGATAATCACACCTACCTCAGAGAATTTGAGGATTAAATGAAACAAAGGACATGCTGTGTCCGACACACAGCAAGTGCTTAGAAATGTCTGTGGAGTTAGTAGGTGTAGAGCCCTGCCTAAGGCTGTGAGGTTCTGAGGACTGAGTTAGAGATCCAGGGTGCAGAGGAGGTGGCTGGTTCCAAGGATGAATGATAGAAAGAACTGAAAGAACTGTATAGTCAGCTGGGCTTGGTGGCTCACGCCTGTAATTCCAGCACTTTGGGAGGCCGAGGCAGGCAGATCACAAGTTTAGGAGTTTGAGACCATCCTGGCCAACATGGCAAAAACTCTGTCTCTCCTAAAAATATAAAAATCAAAAATTAGCCGGGTGTGGTGGCAGGTGCCTGTAGTTCCAGCTACTCCAGAGGCTAAGACAGGAGAATTGCTTGAATCCAGGAGGCGGAGGTTGCAGTGAGCCAAAATCACACTGTAGCACTCCAGCCTGGGCAACAGAGCAAGACTCTGTCTCAAAAAAAAAAAAAAAAAAAAAAAAAGAGCTGTATCGTCTAGGTGGGCCACACTTTGGGTAGGAGCTGGATTGGATGTCTGTTGGATGAGTCTCTGCATTGTGGAGGTCAGGGACAGTTTTCTGAGTTGCAGAGTCAGAGAAATATGGGTAAGAGACATGGAGGGCTTCATTTAAAGGGTGCCTGCAAGATTCATGGGCAGAGGTGCTTTTTTTTTTTTTTTTGAGACAGGATTTCACTCTGTCAAGCAGGCTGGAGTGCAGTGGCACCATGTTGGCTCACTGCCACCACAACCTTCTGGGTTCAAGTGATTCTCCTGCTTTAGCCTCCTGAGTAGCTGGTATTATAAGTGTGTGCCGTGCTAAATTTTGTATTTTTAGTAGAGACGGGGTTTTTTGGTGTTGGCCTGGCTGGTCTCAAACTCCCAGCCTCAAGGGATCCGCCTGGCTCAGCCTCCCAAAGTGCTGGATTACAGGTGTGAGCCACCGCCCTGGGCCAATGGGGGAAGGTTTGAACAATGGTAATGAAGATGGCTGACTTCTCAGAAGAAAAGGCTGAAGAGGTCCTTGTATGTCAAACAGGGAGAAGGGAGGTGAGTGTTGCCCTAGACTTTGAGAGCCAAAGGGGCTGACTGTCATCAGAAACATTTTGAGGGTGGGAGGGAGAGTCCTCTGCCTATAAGGGCTTTGGTTCCCAAAATAGAAACAGAAAGGTCAACCTGTCCTTCTGCCAGAGCTGGTTATCAGAAAAGAGATGAGATATCTCTCGCCTTCTCTCATGTGACTTCTCAGTGGCCCTGATGGAGCTGGGAAGGATATGAGCTGCAGTGGGGAGGTTCTCAGCTGCCCTTGGCCTTAAGACCAGTTTGAAGGGAAAGGCCAAGCCAGGGCATCCCATGGAAGCCGTCTGCACTCAGGTCCACCCCAGAACCTGCTTCCACCCGCTTCAGAACCACTGAAGTCAGCCTGGCACTGTGTGGGGAAGCAAGGCTAAAGAGGGGCTTGTGTCCAGATTACTGCTGGCTTTGGACTTGGTTTATGCCAACGCTAGGCCTGGCTTGGAAGGAGGCCTTCCCTCAGGGTGGCACAGCATGGTGGAGTGAGGAAAATATAGGTTCTGATGTTAGAGAGATTTGGGCTGGAATATCAGTTTGCAATACGTCAGGCAATACGTTTCTTTTTTTTTTTTTTAATTTTTTTTTTTTTAGACTAGTCAAGTGCACTAGTGAGAAGGGGGGAAAGAGTAGAACAAGGAGTTCGATCTGTAACTGACTGTGAACAATCGCAATAACTCACTACCTTCGGACCAGCAGGCAATGTTTCTTGACCTTTCTCTGTTGTATGATCCCCCTTGCAGAATTAGCACAAGGATTTTTTTTTTTTTTTTTTTCAGATGGAGTTTCACTCTGGTTGCCCAGGCTGGAGTGCAACGGCGCGATCTTGGCTCATTGCAACCTCCACTTCCCGGGTTCAAGCGATTATCCTGCCACAGCCTCCTGAGTAGCTGGGATTACAGGTGTGCGCCATCACGCCCGACTAATTTTTGTATTTTTAGTAGAGACGGGGGTTTCACCATGTTGGCCAGGCTGGTCTCGAACTCCTGACCACAGGTGGTCCACCCACCTCGGCCTCCCAAAGTGCTGGGATTACAGGCGTGAGCCACCACGTCTGGCTTTAGCCACCACCCCTGGCTTTAGCACAAGGATTAAATGAGATGTTTATACTGCATTTGGCATAGACACTGTCAAAGAATAAAAGGGCAGTAAATTATAACAATGATCATTGGGGGCTGGCTATTGGAGAATTGTTGGCTCTCTCCAGAGGAGTTAAGATAACGTCCCTCTACGCCCTAACCCCGTTTACTAATCCCGCAGACCCCGCCCCACCTCCGGTAGCCCCGCTTCCTCCTCTAGCTTTGGCCTCCACCCTGACGCATGCGCCCTCGGGCTCCCCCGCGGCTGCTTCTCTTGGCTCTCCTCTCCGGCGGATCTGGAGCCTCGCGTCTTTTCCAGTGTAGGCCCCGCCCCCGCCGGTAGAACCCCGCCCCCCGCTGGTAGGGCCCCGCCTCCCGAAGCAGTTCCGGTTCGGCTCAGAGCAGCTGCCGGTGCGGCGGTGACGGCGGCCGGGGCGATGCCTGCGCGCAGCCGCCACCGCCCCCGCCTCCACTCCGGCTCCCCGCCCCGAGCTCCGCCCCCGCCGCTTGGGGCACTTCACTCTGGCGAGGCGGGGAGGGCCCCGGACTCCGACGGCGGCTCGGACGCCGACTCGGAGGTGGGTCCGGGGAACCCGACTCGGACCGCGGAGGTGAGCGGGAGCTGAGGCTGAGGAGAGGGGAGCTTGGGGGGCGCCTGCTGCCAAGGGTGAGTGGGGAGTCTGGGATGGAGCTGGGGGCTGCCGAGGGACTGCGACCCAGAGGGGCCCCGGGGAGACGGTTGAGGGAGCGGGGAGAGTCAGCTCTGGAATGGAATCTGAAAGAAATGGAGGTTGTCGAACCGAGGGCCTAACGCTGAGGGGTAAGTGGAGGCCGAGGAGCAAGAGGGAGGGGGTGGGAGGAGGAGGCTTGAAGAGCCCAGAGCTTGGGGGCTTTTGAAAGCAGCGCAGTGGGGGAAGAAGATCGAAGGGGTCCTGCGGAAATGTGCACCTGGGGAAAGAGATGCTCTGAATTTGGCAGCGGGGGTGAGGAGAGGAGCAAGACCTGGGCCAGTGTTCCTTTCCCAGGGCGAGGGAGGGCGATCGGTGCTGGGACTGGAGCCCTCTGACCCGGCTGGGGCTGGTGGTGATGGAGGGCAGGATTTAGGTTTGACTGGAAGGAGGAAGGGCTATTGGATGGGAAATCGTTTGGCCTCTAGGGGAGAGGGGGGCATTGAAAAAGAGAAGTGTGGTCAAGAAAGAAAAGGAACCCTTGAGGATCTAATTTTGGGCTTTGGCATTTTAACAGGTGCCTTTCAAAACATCAAAGATCACTAGGGCACTGTACTTGGATTGTGGGGCTTTCTCATTCGTACACAGTGAATCCTTTTAAGAATCTGGGGTGGAAGGGGCGGTGTGAATCACTGATTTGCCTAAAGGACTGGGGGAAGTAGTGGAGAGGAAGTGATGTTTGAAGAAGGTAGTAAAAGACATGATTCTGAAAATGAAGATACCATTTGGATTTATTGACAATAATGGTATTCTTCGTCTTCTTTTATTTTATTTTTTTAAATTTCTTTTATAAGTTTAAATACCAGACACGTTAAGAGCCTAAAAAAGATTTACTACATTACCTTTACGTTTTAGAAATTAAACTTTGAAACAAGACTTTGGATACTCGGATTTTAAAAATTAAACTTGAAACAAGAATTTGGGCACTTGGATTTTAAAAATTAAATATGAAACAAGAATTTAGACGCTCGGATTTTACAGATACTCAATATTGATTGGTTCCACTTTCACAGTTTGAGTTGACAACATGTATTTGCCACATGGTAAAAATATGGTCAATGCAAGTTTCTGGGTTAAGGGGGCACAGGTGAACTCGCCACAGTCTAGGCGGAATACCAACTGTTCCTCTCACTGATCAAACTCCAGGATTGGAGTTGTCTCTTGAAAATTGGAGAGGTACTTTTGATAGATTTGCAAAACCAATATTCAAATACCATTTTGCAGATATTGTGTGAATAATTTTTTTTTTTTTTTTTTTTTTTTTTTGAGACGGAGTCTCTCACTGTCGCCCGGGCTGGTGTGTAGTGGCGCAATCTCGGCAAGCAACCTTCGCCTTTCGGGTTCAAGCAATGCTCCTGCCTCAGCCTCCCAAGTAGCTAGGATTGCAGGCACCCGCTATCACGCCTGGATAATTTTTTGTATTTTTAGTAGAGGCAGGGTTTCACTATGTTGGCCGGGCTGGTATCGAACTCCTGACCTCGTGATCCGCCCACCTGGGCCTCCCAAAGTGCTGGGATTCAGGCATGAGCCACCCCGCCCGGCCAGTGAATAATATTTTTAGTAGAGTGATTTAGAAAAATAAGGACAGAGGATGCTTGTAGTTGGCAGCCAACACAACTGGGACAGGTGGGTACATAGATGGTGGTTTTTTTTTGGAAGACATAGTTCCAAAACATAATTATGCCAGAAAAATAATGATTGCAATATTTATATTCACTTTAGTAGAGAGAAATTCACTTCCTTTTGTGATTGTTAAGTCATAACATGGCTCCATGAAGTCTTTGTTTGACTTTAGCCACATGTCTCATATGTTTTACAACTTTTTATGTGATTATAGGTTTGTAAAGTTGTTGCCCATTTCTTTTCCTTCTTTCTTTTTCTCTCTCTCTCTTTTTTTTTTTTTTTTTTTTTTTTTGAGACAGAGATTCGCCATGTTGCCCAGGCTTATGCGACCCATCTCAGCCTCCCAAGTAGCTGGGGGTAGCTGGGACTGCAGGTGGGCATCACCACACCTGGCTAATTTTTGTGTATGTATGTGTGTGTGTATGTATATATGGCAGAGAATTTTTAATCAAGCATATTCTAAATGCCTGATTAAATCTAAATGGATATCTACTGTTTAATCTTCATGAGATGATAATTTATTGATTGGCAACAGCTTTTAGATTAGTTTATGTGTATAGACTGTGTGACATACCCTCAGATGCACAGTGGAATAGTAATTGTTTTTTCAAAGGAAATGTGAATTCTTAGCTTTGTTTTTAGCTGAGGTTGTTAAAGTATTAATTACCTTTTCTTATAAAAATTATCTTTAGTTGAAGTTTACATAATATTACTGTTTACTTGTTTTATGTCTAGAATGAGATCCTCTGGAGACCTTGTCTTCAAGGTCTTAGTTCTGAATAAAAGTCATGGCATGTAAGACTTTGCTGAATTGCAGCATAAGAACTCTATTAAGATTACATCTTAATGTTATTGCAAAATTAAAGAGAAACCGTTAGACGGGGTTGTACCATTAATATATTAGCGTGTCTAATCGTTTTTTAATTTTAGTTTCCCTTTGTCAGTTCTCACAGCCATTAAATAAAGAAAATCAGTTTTAGGCCAGGTGTGGTAGTTCATGCCTGTAAGCCCAGAACTTTGGGAGGTGAGGCGGGTGATCACTTGAGGTCAGGAGTTCAAGACCAGCCTGGTCAAAATGGCAAAACCCCGTCTCTACTAACAATACAAAAATAATTATTTGAGTATGGTGGCACATGCCTGTAATACCAGCTACTGGGGAGTCTGAGGCAGGAGAATCCTGCACTTGGGAAGCAGTGGTTGTGGTGAGCTGAGATCATGCCACTGCACTCCAGCCTGAGTGACAGAGTGATATGTCTCAAAAAAAAAAAAGAAAAAGAAAAGAATCAGTTTTATAGTAGAGCAATTTCTCTAAGGCAGAAGAAGCCATCATGACTGCGATGACAGAATATGCAGACATATTTAGGTAAGTCAGTTTTGATTTCAGTAGTATACTCCCCATTCTGCAAAAGCTTATTCACATCGCACAGTTGCTGGTAAACATTTTTATTTTGTTAATCATTAGATCCTCAATCCTTCTTTAAAACTTTGCTGTTAGTGATTGAGATATTTTTAAGGCTTTTCTAAGAATTGGAATTTGAACACTTTTTTTGAGAAACTTAAATAATAGATGTTTCCATTAATAGTATTATTGTTTTATAAGAAAGCCATATTAACGAGCTATTCTTTCAAGATTTTACTTCCAGGCCTGATGTAATATATGGTGTTAATTACTGGGTGTACCTAGCGTGCCCGTTAATTTGTGGATGGAAATCTTTCGTGTCTTCAGAGTCTACCCCCTTCACTTTTCATATGGCAGTGGTTTGTTAATGAACTCACTAAGATTGAATTCGCTTTTTAATTTTAAAGCTTCTGTAGCTTTGATTATCTTTGGACATCAAACTGATTTATGTGAGGTATGAATATAATTCCATATTCTGCTAAATTACCTATGAAGCTCTTTTGAATGATTGTGGTATTTGGTGAAAAAAATACGGTATGAGCTAATTGTATTTTTTTTTCCTTGAGACGGAATCTTGCTCTGTTACCCAGGCTGGAGGGCAGTCGTGCGATCCTGGCTCACTGCAACTTCTGCCTCCTGGGTCCAGGCAATTCTCATCCCTCAGCCTCCTGAGTAGCTGGGATTACAGGCACGTGCCACCACATCCAGTTGTTTTTTATTCTTAGTAGAGATGGGGTTTCACCATGTTGGCCAGGCTGGTCTGTACCTCTTGACCTCGTGATCTACCCACCTCAGCTTCCCCAAGTGCTGGGATTATAGATGTGAGCCACCTCGCCCGGCCTCATAATTCTTTTAAAATGGATTTAGGTTATAGAGGAGGACTACACCATTTCATTCCCAGATTAAATGTTTTACTTTTTTGCAGAAATGACAGCGGGAGAGCCTCGATTATTTTCACATCTCTCATATGTTTATATTTGATTATAAATAAAGTTTTACTTATTTGCAAAATGCTATATCTTTAATATTTGCTTGCATGTGGTTTTGGGAATTCTTTTGAAACCATTATTGTTCTTGTTTTTGTTTTACTGTATGGGTAGGAGGTAACACATTGAGGGGTTAATAGTAGAGCAAGAACAGAGAAGGCCATTTGACAACAGATATCATCAGGACGTGATGCTTACTTTAGGTCTTGTGGTTTTCTTGGCCTTGAGAAATCAAGATGTTAACTAAAAATAGGAACTCATGGGCCAGGCACACTTGGAAAACAAATTGGTGTTTATATGCTGCCACTGTTGCTTCCTGATAATTTGCTATCTGAATGTGTGGATATGGATTTGTAACAGACCTGTGGTGTGAATATTCCTGTACCCGCTCCTCCTATACACACAGCACCATCATCACAGATCTGAAGCCTTTTAGCTGAGTTTAGTGACTTCATGTCTCTGTATTGAAATGTTCTGTTACTTCACTATGTACTGAGCCCTCACAATAATATAGAGTATAACATGCTATGAAACTATTAACTAAGAAAAACTTGGTTATAATAGTTTCAACACAGTGTTTCCCATAAAACAGTGTTTTATGATATGTACCTCAGAAAAGACTGTTGTGGGGGCAGGACAGTGAACTATATTTATATTTGTCTAAAAGTTTTTTGGTTTTTTTTTTTTTTTAAAGATAGGGTCTCACTCTGTCTCCCAGGCTGGAGTGCAGTGACACAATCATGGCTCATGCAGCCACAAACTCCTGGGCTCAAGCAGTCCTCCTGCCTCAGCTTTCTGAGTAGCTGGGACTATAGGCATGTGCCACCACACCTGGATAATGTTTTTTATTTTTCTTTTGTAGAGATGGAGTGTCAGCTTTGTTAACGAGGCTGGTTTTGAACTCCTGGCCTCAAGCGATCCTCCCACCTCT